AAACCTTTGAGAATGCTGCTTTGTGTTGCTCTGTTGTTGTGACTTTGGACAGCCCCTGCTAGATAAATCTCCAGCCCTGACAGTGCTTTGTGTTGGGAGCTTTGTCTGGCTGCATAACTGGCTCAGAATCTCTTGGAACTATTTCATACTGAAAGTGAAAGCATTGGCCGGAGGTGCCATGGGCTACTTTTCCTTCTGTGATTGTTCAGCTCGTGTTTGATACCCTTCTCTGTCTAGGAACCCCTGAGATATGGCTCTCTGCTGTTTTCAAAAGCCATAAGATGAGGAAATGTCATACAGGCTGTTTATTTCCTCTTCTTCTGTGGAGTTCCTGTGGCTGCTTCCTCAAGTCGCTCTGGCTCGTTTCAAGATCTTTTGTGTTGCTTTGGTGGAAGGTGATGTAGGAAAGCTCCAGGGCTTCCTAACAGAACTTTATAATTTATTCTGTTTGTGCTTGATTTACTATATTTAAAAATGGAGGTAGAGCCAAATAGTCACCTTGTCCTTGTATCCATGCTGCTTTCTCAGGATTTCTTTTGCAGGAGAGATGCAGGTGTGGGGGCTCACTGGGGATGCTGTGAAAGTCTCTTCTTTCTCAGTTGTGACCTGGGTTCACTTGTGTTTCACTGGGGTTTTATTCTGTGGGAGGAGTCCCAAACTTAGAACTGACTTAATTAAGATGTTGAATTCAGTAACTTCTGCGTAGGATAAAGGTCAGCGCCTCAGCTTCCTTCTGCAGTAGTAATTTTCATTGACTGCTAATTTTCTCAGGATGTAGACATTTGATAATATTGGCTTTTATTGGTTAGGAATCATTGAAACTCCATATTTTACTTGCAGACTGTTACAGTTAATGTCACTTCTTGCTTGTCTGAAGTGACTATATCTGGTGCCTTTAAACAAGTACACATTAAATATCGGAATAAAACCAGAACTTCATACACAGTTGGCAAATTAGCTCTTCTTGTAAATCTTGTCAAGCTGTATTTAGATGGAAATTAGATTTTTCTTTAGTTTAATATACTCCTAAAATGTGTTCATATTCTAGCATGCACTGCACTTTATTTATAGCTAATTAATTGAACTGATTGCTTTTGGGTTGCAATGTTCCAAAACATTGTTAGAGCTGATAAACACCACCTGATAGTTTTTTCTGCTCTTCTCAAGTTTGTAGGAAGAAAATCACTCTTTCTACTTTTCCAGCCTCTAGGTTGTTTCATAACTTAAAGATGAATGGTCACGGGTTCAACTGATGAAATGATATTTTTATTTCTTTAAGAAGCAATAAGAGATTGAAAAAGCTGGTTTAGCACTTCAGGAAGCAATATTCCCAAGCACTTAGCTAGGAGCTCTGCAGTATTTTATTGTTGGCAGCCTGTGTTATTCCTTCTTGCAGGTTTTTTCCATGTAAATTACTTTATTGCACTATAATACATGTCAGCATAAATATCAGATTTTAAATCTGTGCATTAAATTGATTGTAATGCAGGTTATTTTGTTAAATGATTTGGAATTTCGTTTGAACCTAAACTAAGATTTAATATTCAGGATATTAGAAAAGCCCAAACCAAAAACCCAGCCAACCTCAAATGCATCTTAAGGGCTCTATTTTATGGAGCTTCAGGTTTGTCTTCTGACTCTCCACAGAGCTGCTGTTCTGAGCTGAGAAACTCCCTGGTGCTGAGGTGTTCTGGGTGCAGGTGCCAGCTCTGAGTTTTTCTTGGGAGGCTGCTCCAGCTGTGCTGGTGCCTGGCAGCTGGCTCATAACCTGAGCTGGGAGTTGGAAAGGCTGCATCTCCCTCTGGATCATGGTCCTGTCACAGGTTAGGCCTGGAGTCACCAGGGATGTTTTGTACTTCTGAAGTTCTCCTCTCCCTGTAACTGCATTGTTACTGTTGTTCCCTTTTTCCTCATGCCAAGGACTCCTTTGCACAGAGGAAATGGGAGCAGGGTGCCTGACATTTGGAAATAAAGTGGGGGTTAGTTTTGGACTGAGTTTCTGAGGCTTCTTTGTTGCCTTTTGTACAAGATAGTGATCTTTGCTGCTTTTTTCCCTTGGATGTATCTCATGATGTCTTGGATGTGAAATCAGTCAAGCTGGAACTTGTTGGAGGTAATGTTCTCAAATATGGGAGTTGCCCTCAGTTTTTCCAAGGTTTATGATTCACCAAGGACCTGGTAGTCTAGGACAGCATATGGTAGTTCCTTGCTTCTTAGGGAACTAGCTTCCTGATCAGGAAAAGCTCTATGAAATATCATATGGAATTACATAATTATTTTTCATAGTACACAACAAAAGTCTACTACTATGCAGCATTTGAATATGGCATTTTAAGGGCGTTCTTGCTTTCCATATGCACAGTTTCCTGTGTATTGAATGGGGTCACTTCTGTAGGTGGCAGCTTGGAAGAGAGAAGCATGGCAGGGAGCTTGGGAGTGCACACAGACATGGGCACCTTTGAGTCCTGTCTGACAGGTTTTGGTCATGTTACCAATCTGAAAGTGTTTGGCTTGCCTGCAAGTTGAAGTTGGTCAAATGTGCATGTGTTGGATCTGTCAGAAATCTCAAGCTTGTGCCATTTCTTACCTATCTGACAACTTTTCTGAGGAACTTTATGAACACGGGATGGAGAAATTAATCTGAATAATTTACAGATCAGGACTGTGCCCTCACTAACCTTCTCCACTTGAGTGTTATGGAACTTGGCCATGCTCCTGCCACTTGTGAAAGGGTCTCTAAATTAAATTCTAATAGGGAATACTTATTAAATGGTTATAATGTTAACAAACCATTCTGTTAGGGATTGGGGCAGGAGTCACAAAAGTTGGGTAGTGTTGTTTTCAGTTTTGTTTGTTGGTTTTTGTTTTTTTTTTTTTTGTTTGTTTGTTTTTAAACACAAAATACGATGTAAAATCACAAGCACAGGGTATTAAATCATCACCAAAATCTGTTTGTTAGTTTCCAGAGTGGTTGGTTCGTGCCTCCTCTTTAGCTGCCTGAGATGCCTCTGCAGGTTGTGGGTATGGTGCAGCTTTTGATGACTCTGGTGTCTCAGGGCAGCAGGGAGAGGCAGCCTCTTCAGAAGTCCTGGAGTGACCTGAGCACTTCAGTACCTGAACTTGACACATCTGTTGGTGCAGTTTCCATTATTCCTCTGAGACATCTGACCCTTGCTTCTGCCACTGTTTTGGACTGACTCTTGTATTTCACAAGCTTTTAAAAATTACCTTTAATGTGAAGGGTTCAGCATAGAAACCACTGAAGTACTGTTTCTGATTTTAGTGACAACTTCAGCTCCATTTGTGGAATTTTCAGGGGCTTCCAGCTTAGCCTGTCTCTTGACCTTGCTCTTTCTCCTCTACCTCCCGCCTCGTGGTGTGAAGTTACCCACCTTAGGGAGACACAACAGGGGGTGCAGCATTTCCCACTGCTGCTGAGCTAAGTGGAGCAGTGCTGGGCTGGCATTGCTGTTCAGTGGTGGCTCCTTGGCAGGGGGGTTCCTGACTCTGCTGGGTTCACGTGTGCACAGAACTGCAGCTGAGCTGCTTTTAGAGATTCTCCTGTGCTGGAGCTCTGAGATCGCAGCTAGAATGGGAGCTAGCCTGGAATTCCTTGAGTACTCTTGTGCATGCAAGGAGAGAGCATGTGGAGAAATTCAGGGAGAACAGGCAATTACCTTTTGCTGATTGAGCTTTATGAAGGTCCCGTTTGTGCCAGTAAGGTGTTGCCTGCCTTGGCTAAGAAGTATTTCACAGCTCTAGCGGAGGGAGTTGTTAAGCTTGGGGCACTCGGGACAACTGCTTGGTGCAGTGAATTCTGCTTTCTCAGTGCACATCAAAGGACTGTATAGTGTTCCTGCTGGCCAGGGCAGACCTTACAGGACAGGGCTGCTCTACATTTCTTTAAAATTGCAGATAGCAGCTGGGAGAGATATAGAGGCAAGAAAATGTGCTCACTTAAAGCAACCACTAACACTCCCAAATTGTTTGAATAAATTATATGCATAATGATTAACTTATCAACTTTGCTGCTAACACTATAATCAATCTAGTTTTGGGTTTTTGACGATAAAGAATTACCTGAAGTTGATCTCTCTTTATTCTCTGCTCTTAAAGGCCCCAACAGCTAGAAAGCTTCCTAGAAATGAATCATCTTGATTTTCGGAAACCAGTTCTAAGTTGCAAGCTTGCTTTCAGATTCTCTGGATGTTCATGTATGCTCAATGTGCTCATTTAAAGAGAAAAAAAGAGCAGGTGGTGATAGTTTGTAAGATGCATAGCAATTTTCTGAACAAGGTTGCAAACCACAGGTTTTCATAGGAATTCTTAGTGTGTGCAACCAGTGTCCACTTTCCAAAGTTCATCCCATGTTCTGGTACCACAGTATGAATGCCTGTAATGTGTGTAACCTTGCAGTGACTCTCAGGTGGGAAAATGCTCTGGTTTCCACTTAATTCCTGAGATTTTGATGTACAGATGTTTAGGTGTCCTGCTGAAATACATGAAAGAAAGCCTGGGGTGAAGAGAGTAAAGGTCTGGTCTCTGGAGACTGGTGATGGTTCCTTGTTCCTTTTTCTTAGCTTGCCTTTCCCTGCACCCAGTAGATTATTCAGTTAATACTTTAAATTACCAATATTTGACTTCCCAACCAGTAGTGGGGTTTTTAAATTGTTTTAGAAGTCTAGTGACAATGTGGGCACAAAGAACCAGTATATCTAGTTTTTCTCAGTAATAAGACTTCTTGGTGTATGGTGTGCATGTGAGACAGTTTGGGTTTTTGCTTACTTGCAGGAGTTGGGATGTAGTGGAATCCCAGAGCTCTGGGGTATTTTCCTGTGGGCTGAGGAAACTGTGCCCTGAAGCACTGCCCAGTCTGTAGCTGCAGCATGGACAGGTGGAAAACTGCTTGATAAGCCTCATGGAAATAGTAAATTCTATAGATAAGCCCTCAGTACCTCAGCATAATTTACCAGGGTTTGTTTTTCTTTCTGGATTTACAGAGATATGAAAAATGCTGTAATTGGAAACAACAAACAAAAAGCCAACTTGATTGTTTTGGGAGCAGTTCCAAGGTATGTCCTTTGCTACTCTCCTTTTCACTGATTCACAACAGGTCTGGAATAATGATCCTTCGATCACAGGCACTTTTTTGTTTTAACTTTGATTGTAGTTGACTGAATACTTTTTCTAACATAACTGAGAGACACTTGAAATATCTGTTAAAATCATGTATTACAGAACAGGCTGTTGAGTAATGCTTTTAATTTAGAATTTCATAGAATTCTCTAAAGTAGTCTTGGTGTTTTTATTGAACTTTATCAGCTCAGGAGTAAAATCTATTTTTTTGATATTGATATTAATGATGGATGCAGTGGTTGTATCTTAATCCTGTTCTTCAGCCAATTGCCTGGTGAGTTCATAACTGAAAATGTGTAAGGTTATGTTTAAGATTTAATTTAAAATATTGAAAAACATCTGAGATAATTTGCTTGTCTGCTCCACTTGCTTCAGAGGATTAAAAACCATTGATCATACTTTATTGTACCTTGCTGCTTCAGCTGATGTTAACATTTTCTGGATCCTGATTCCACTAGTACAAATTGAACAGGTGACTTTAACTGCTAGATTGCTCACTACAGCTTTCATTTCATCCCTCTTCTCCTCTAGCTTTCTTTCAGCCTCAGTTTGCAGCAATGGAGAATGGAAACCTTGAGCACTGCAGTCCTTGTGCTGTCAGTGTGGCACCCACCTGTATCTTTTTGCTTAAATGGCAACCAGGTCCAAAACTATTCTGCCTGAGAGCTGCTGCTTCTGCCTTGTCAAAAATGCTTTTTATTTGCAGAGAGTATCTTCTCACTGACACACTGAGTTTGTGCCAATGCTGGCCCTTGAAATTCTCTAGGGATTAGCAGTGGGGCCACCCCTGTACAAAACCTGCTGGGTTATCTTCCCTTTTGACCAGCTACAAACAGGTGAAGAGAAGACTTCACAGGAGATGAAAATATGAAAACGGGAATTTGTTGAAGATTATGAGAAATTTAAGGAATTTCTATCAGCAACAGGTCTTAAGGGGTTTTTGCAAGTCCTGCTGATTCTTGTGGTTCCCATTTTAAAAGCTACAGAAGATCTTCACCTTTCAAATCTAGAATCTGCCTGTTCTTACATTTTGTAGGACTTCTGTTCCCTCAGTTATCCTGCTTTTTGCTGCTGCTTGTTTTGTGCCCAGTAAGGAAAATTCAAAAGTGCTTTTTTCTTCATTGTTGTTAATGCCTTCTGGCTGTCTAGGTGAATTATGCAGTTAATCTACAACTGCAGAGACATGACTGGCCCTGGGAAATGTTAAAAAGTGAACTATCACACTTGTCCCGTCTTCAGGACAAGTTATTCTCAAATGACCAGAAATTTCTTCAGAAATTTTCAGAAAAGGCTCTTCAGACTGGGGGACTAGCTGAAATACATTGAGTTATTGTGACCAAAGGTCATCCTCCCTGGCTATAACCTGACATCATCTACCTCCAAGTGCCTTTCTGAAGGCTTTGCAATTTCCTCAAGGTGTTGCAGACAGACTTCAGTAGATTATAGACTGTTTGGATTAGAGAACCCCTTTGGTTGTTCTCTGTCAAGGAGGTGGGAATCCTTTGGCTCTTTTGATGTGCCTTCTGATCAGTTCTGCTGGTGGAGTACAGGGGCCTGTGGAATTCCAGTCTGCAAAGCCAGGGCTCTCGCACAGTGAGGAGAGGAATAACCAACATGGCATTCTTTGATTTATGTCTTTAAGAACCTTTTTCTTTTCACAGAGTTCAGTTGCAGGCTCCCATGGGAAGTTGATTCTCTTCTCTAATGAGAATTGTTAGAATTCTGCTGCAGCTTTGTCCTGTGGTTCAGCTTGTTTTTTTACTCATTTCTTGCTTCTCTCTCCTTCCCCAAGTATTCTTCTATCAAGCTTTCAGAAATACTCTTTAGACCCAAGGAACCCCTTCAGATCTGTCACTCAGTAGAAAAGAAAACAGTACCTTCAAATATTAGAGCAAACTCACATGGGGTTTGGAAATAAGTCTAGAAGTATCTTTTGTTTGAAATCTGGCCAAATACTACTGGAATATATTAAATAGCCCTATTATTTTGAAATATTGCAAAGAAATGCAAAGTCCTTTGAAGATCTTCCTACAAAGGAAGGAGGTGCTGTGGAAGAATGGTGGATCCCTGTCACTTCTGGGCCAGTGGCCTCCTGCTAGCTGGCTCTTCAGTGTGTCATCTTTGGAAAGGGACATGTATCAATACCTTAAATGAATATTTTTGGGGCCCTTTAAAGTTCAGTCTGACCTGTGGTCATCTCTGGACTGCTTGTTCTGAAGAGGTTGTTAGGGAAAACAAAGTTGATTAAAGAAAGCTTGCAGAATTTCCATGTCTGGAATTTAAAACTAGGAAGTGTTAAAACTGTACAAATGTGTGCACAGACTTGGCTCTGTTCAGAATGGAAATAGCCAGCTTGTGTGTGGATTTTGTTTCCTAAGAAGTGATTTTTCTATATCTCTTCCTAGAATCATAAAATTTCCATTCTCATGGAATGCTGGCCTTGGGCCCCTGTCAAGGCTGTAGAAATGTTACTTTTTGAAATTCTTGCTTTTTAGTAGTAGTCCTAGAAAATAGAATTTTTAAAGTTTAGAGGGGAAAAGTTATTTTAAGGCCAAGTTCTTTAAGTGGCAGACCGTTTAAAGCTAAGTGGCAGATTTTAAAGCTAAGACACAACAGCATTGGCAAAAGTAGTTTCCTACTTGTACTGTCCTTCAGTTTTTTTTTCCTTCTACCCCACATTAGTGCTAGCAGAGACCAAGAAGTCCACAGTAATTGCAGGTGTGCCCCTTTATTCAGCAGTTTTATAAGAACAAATCCTGCAGCTTGTGTGTCTATCACATCAGACACCCCTTTGGAGTCCAAGTTCAATATGTAATGCTTTCTGTCCGTCCTCTTACAGCCTAAATCTCAGGGAACTGATGGAATCATCAATTCAAATGTAAATTGTTCTTTTCTAAGTCATCTTAACAGGACTTCTGAACTAACTAAGTGCTGTTCATCTGGTAGCAGTCTGTAGTGCTGCTGGCTCCCAATCCTCTGAGCTGTAAATGGCTCACAGAGGTGGAATTGGAAAAGAAAACCCTTCAGTGAAATGAGCAGGAGGAAGTTCCTGATCAGTCACTGTTCCAAGTCTGTGGAGCAGCTCTTGGTACCTGGAGAGATGCAGCATTGCTGGTTTGCCACTGAAAGGACCAGCAGGGCCTTTCAGTCCTGGGATCATTCCCTTCCTTCTTCCATGTGGGGATGGCAGAGCACAGGGAAGGCAATGTTAAATTCCAGTGAGCAGAGCATAGCTCTGTTTTCCTGTTTGTTGTAGTTACCTGTTCTGTTCTGTGTGATTTTGACAAAAAAACTTGAATGAAGTTATTGCTGATCTAATTATTGCTGAGAGTTCAGCATTTAAAGTCTAATCCACTTCATTAAGAGCTGCAGTTATTCCTTTGCTCCAAAATTAATACAGTTTTTAAATCAAATCTTAGTCCCAACCTCCCAGGGCCTTTAGCAGAATCACTAAATCATTCTTGTCACTTACTGAAAATGATTTTCTAACTTCCAGCTGATTGTTCCCCTATCACATAAAGTCAATTATTTGGCTTTCTAAGGTGATAGTGCACTTCTTCCCAAAGCTTTCTCTAGGTAGGTGCACCTCAAAGAATTTTGTGTATCTAATTTTAATCTTTCCCTAGCATTTATTAGTGATTCTGTTTAACTGTTGGGTTTTTAAATCTTTAAAATTTCTTTGGAGTACATTTTCAAGGCCATGTAGAACAGCTGAAGGACTCTCTTCCATTCCATCACTTGAATTTTGAGTTCTGTACAGCAGACTATTAGGTTGCCTATGGAAGTGAAACTAGTAAGAATTTATTGGAATTTTAAATTGTTGCTAGGGCTGTAAACACAGCAACATTATATTGTATGTTTTGATTTATTGTTAAACATAATCAAATTCCTTCAGGCAGTGTTCTTTTAGAGTTTGCCAAAAGAATAAAAGATTGCTGCTTTGGTAACTGTGTAATCTGGTAAAAAAGTTGAGAAAGGAAATGCTTTAGGTGGCTCTGCCCCTGGCAGTGCAGGTGAAATGCCAGCTTGGTGTAACACAGCTCCTCTCTCAGAACCACCCTCGGTGCTTCTGACCATGTCCTACCTCCACTTGTCTTGTGCTTGACTGCACCAAGACCTGCCTCAGCTCAATAATCACACAAAACTAACTCTCACAAAAAGCATGCCTTGTTCTGTGGGATTAAAAACAAGACAGATGAGCAGAGAATGGGGAGAGCAGGACTTGCCCTACAGCAGTGGAGAAATGTGCCTTGAAATGCTGAGGGGCTGCTGGGATGGCAGTGCCATGGATCTCCATCAATGGGAGCTGGAAAATTGACCAGGACAGCCACTTCAAACGGTTCCATGTTTGATCCTGCCTCAGAGCAGGGCCTGAGGATCTGTCAGAGCTCCTCATGCCTCCAGTGCTCCTCTGTGCCCACCTGATTGTCCTGGCGCCTGCAGGAGCTGAGGGCTGGCCTCTGCTGGGGCTGTCAGTGAATGTGCTGTTATCAGGTCTGCACATCTTCTGGGACCTTCCTTGTCCCTGGCCTGTTCCCAGCTTGCTTCCAGGAACTCCATGCACTTGGACTCAGTACTGTGAGGTCTGTCATGCACATTAGTGAGTGTTTAGTCCAAACTTCTTGAATGTCCTTAAGAGGTCAGGACACAATTGTTTCCTGATGATGCCTTGTTCTGTTCTTTGTGCAGTTTGCATTGGGATTTTCTGTCATGCACCCCTCAGGGCAGGGATCTGTGCACAGGTGCTATGGTTTGCTCTCTTAGGGGAAGGAGCTTCACCTGCCTTGCTGGTTTTCCAAGGCTTGCTTTGCTCTAGGGTGGTGAAAGGTGGGGAGCAGAGGCTCTCCTGTGGTTGTCCTTTGCTTTTCTTCAAATCAAGTCAGGAGTCAGGACCTGATTGCATAATTAGACATCTCTTAATGAGGAATAACTCTCT